CGTCGCCCTGCAAACGGATGAAAAGAGGCACTCGAGTTTACGTTTCTCCGGTTGCAAGATCGGTCATAGAAAAATCAAGTGGAAATTGAGATGCGCATTTATGTAAAATATGAGAGAGAAAGAGAGAATCGCGTATGGTCTCTCTGAAATGACACCGAGAAAGTTTCGTTCTCGCCGAGCAATTTCGTTCTTCAAATTGAGATATCATTCACACACAGGATGATTCAGTGCTCGAGATTTGCCTTAGTAAACAAATCGCGCGAAGCACAACGCCCGAGAAGATTATTATTGATTGTACTAAAAAACATTATTTTTTAATTTTTTATACACACGAGAGAGATTAGTCTTTCTCGAAAAGCGGACTTTTTTACAAATGTTCGCCGCGTCGAGAGATACTCGCTTGAAAAATATGCAAACTCGATGATTCTCAAAAGACCGAAATGAGATTTCACAAGTTTTTTTCACTCTCTGTCTCTCTCTATAATTGAAACGTCGAATTCCAGACAAATAGATAGATAGGTAAAACTAACTCTTTCTCTCTCTTGTTGTTTCAATATTCCGTGGAATTTTCCGACTGCGATCTATGCTAGAACATTTTACGTAATTGCTAACTTTGCTGTTAATTTCCTAGACAGATGACTGCCTTGAGCGATATGATCGATGAGCACGATGAAAGAAAGCTCATGAATTTCACTATGGGGGATATTATCGAGAAACGATTTTAATACTGAGTCTTAATAACATTGTTCCAGCCACAAATTTCATCAATCGAGATCATAATCCATATCCAATGGCGTAATCATGATTTCAACACAGGTCATCTTCTTTATTATACCATCATCATGACAATGTTTTTTAATATTTTGATAATGTCATGTAAAAATAATCTAATTGAACAAGACACAGTTCTGTGCCCGTTCTGCTTTGTTTACTCGAACAATGATATTTTCTCTCATTTCTCTCAGCCCGGCCATAATTTTTATCAAATTTTACATGGCTCGCGACGGCAAATTAAATTTTTGACTCGTACAAGCAATTTCGCGCGCAAAGATATGCTTAAATTAAATATTTCTTTCTCCTCTGATCTCAGATAAAAATGGCCAACTGCGTCTCTGCTCTTTCGAGCTCGGAGGTTACAGGATAAGTTCAAGAAGTCTGTGTTTCTCTCTACAACTTCATAGATTTCATAAGTAGATTACATACCCTATTTGCGATAGACTCGCGATCAATAGACAGAGTAAACATGACCTCGCGGCAGGATCGGAAAATTCAGACTATAATCTAACTGCCGAGAACAATAGGGATTTCTGTCGCGTTCCACTTTTTTTTTCTTCACCGTGCAAATTTATCGGAGATGTGCGAAGAACGGATAGAATGCGCGATAATTTATTGACATCCGGTCTCGTGCTGCTGATGCAAAAAACATTATTGCATCTATAATTGGTTTGGCGTTCAGTGATTTTATTTTTATAGATTAAAAATCGGGATGTGCATATATATGTTACATAAAATATTTACGCGCGCTTTAACGAGAGTCGGCGAGATGGGGGATTTATATAAAAATATGTAAATAGATTAAAGTGCGCCGATAACGATATTACGCTTTAGTCACGCCCTTGTTAATGCCTCCTTAATGGACATCATTTTCCACAGAACAAATCCAATTTATAGTTGCATACAAATTAAAAGCAATATTAATTTTCACATCATGCAAACTTCGCGTTAATACTTCTTTAGAGCCTTCACTCGCGCTCGTTTCGCATTAAAATTATCGATCAAAATATATTATTTTATTTTATAATACATGGAATTTTACCTTTTATCATACAGTTTATTTTAATATCGCGCAAAGTATAACAAACATTTTTACATGTACGAGAGAATAGAATTATAGAGCCGCGCAATTTTTCGCAAGAAGAGCTCGAATTTAAATATATATTTGAATATATTAATAAGATAGAAATAAAACGACAAACAAGGAATCAAAAGCTCGCAGAGATGTATAGAATATACATATATATTCGTAATGCACTCATTATTCGTTGCATCAAACAAAATAAACGCTCGATTTCGGCGGATCTATCCCCAACGCGCGCCCTTCGTTCATTCATACATTTATATGTATCTCATACACGCGAATATTAAATTTTACGGCTATATAGAGTATCCGTGCGTGGCGCGTATAATAGAAATCGTTCCTATCTCCGTTAATTCGTATGCGAAACGCGTCTGCAAACGCGTTTGCCATGCGGACTGCCGATTTGCATACAACGGATATTCGCTCGTGCTCAGTTCGGGGGTTCCCGAATTTGCAAACCTCTCCACGTGCCGAACTTCAGGGATCCGAAAGGAGCTTTTTGCATTGTCAATTCCACAGGTACTCACCCTCTCGTGCCGGGGAGTTTCAATACACGCGAAGTGTCATTCGATCGATACGCCGAGAAAGACAAATAGAACATGGAAGCTAACAATAAATGAGAACGCGAAGAAATCAGTAGGAATTTTTTGCACGAGGAATTTCGGATAATTAAGGAGGAGGAAACCCTCTTCCTTCATTCCGCCCCGAATTCTTCAAATTTGTTGATGACGTATGACTGATCGGGTCGGATCGGTCTTCGGAGAATATCCTGAGCTAAACAAGAGACGCAAGATTCTTTCCAGAAGGCATAATTCATTTTTCTTTTATTTTTGTTCTTTCTTAATTTTAAAAAATTTATTTTTGTTATTTTGTTTTATTTTCTTTTTTTATATTAAATATGCAAATCAATTTTAATGTTTATTCAAAAGTAGAGCAAATGTTTAATTTTGTGACTGATTTCAAGGGCAAATGCCCATTGTTCTTTCTTAATTTTTAAAAATTTATTTTTGTTATTTGTTTTATTTTCTTTTTTTTATATTAAATATGCAAATCAATTTTAATGTTTATTCAAAAGAAGAGCAAATGTTTAATTTTGTGACCGATTTCAAGGGCAAATGCCCATGAACAAGAGCATGTTTTAGGTCGCAAAATTTTTTCCCACTCTCCTCCTTCCTTCTGATAAGTTTTACCCGATCTTTACGAGAGCAGAATTTATGATTATCGATGGACACGCACTAGAGTCATTATCATTGTATATCCGTGTCAATCATTGCGCCAAGTAGCACACGGCAACAAGATAATATAAATATCAAAGTTCAAGGGGAAATCGCGTCGGAGCGAGGATAAAGCACCGATAAGAGACCTCGTGGACTGGATACCTTCCCACGAGAGAACCAGCAGTGGTGAATAGAGGCGAAAAGGGACAAATGGTGGAAAGCACTTCAGGCGCATCTATCGAGTCAAATGTGCATGGCAATCACTAGAGGAACAATGAGTCCTAAATATCGCCTCGACGTTGATCTAATTCCTTCTTTCCGTGTTCTCCGTGATTTTTCTCGCTGACAATGTCGCAATTTATCTTTTCTCTCTTGGCGAAATTCGGACAGATCCGTTCCTTCGAGTAGATGATTCGATCTACATGATGACGATTTCGAGGAACCTGATACACCACTATTTATAGCGAAGTATCATTCCGAGTCTTCTAAAGTAATTGGTTATAAATAAGAAAAAAGAGAGGAGAGATGGTATATTTATATTAGGAAATATTACGACGCAATATGTGGTAAAATTGCTAATAATTTAAAAATTTATCTTTTCTTTTGCTTACATGTAGAAAATAAATTAATAAAATTTAAAAAATATTTATAATGATTGTTCGAGATTATCTCTCTTTCATAATTAACAAAGATATTTTCTGACTTTCAAATTAAAACCAGTCATCTCTCTTTCTCTCTGTCTCTTTCTCTATCTCGACCTATTAAATTTCGATTGGTTGAAAGAATGTCTAAACTTCGGCGTGTTTTCGAATTATTTTGGCACAAAGTGTAAGCAACGTCGACGTTTATTCAGATGTAGAAGCACCGGATGCGCTTCACTTTTGCACCGGATTTTACCATATGCGGTTTCTCTCTTCCCTCGACAAAGAGAACTTTTGAGCGCGTAACCTCGCGCGCATTTCTCGTTATATTGTAGGATTTATAGATATGTACCTTTCACAATGTTTGGTAATAAATGTTTATTAACGTGTCTCGGTTTTGAATTTATTATAGTTATATGGTTGTTGTGAAAAAAATTCTCGTTTTGAGTGACAAATAACGTGCGCTTAGCGTTTCTGGCAGGCGTAAAATCGGGGATTATCGATAAAATAAAATCGATTAAACACAGTGTGTATATATATATATATATACACAGTGACGAGAGACCCTCTTTTGTTGAATTAGCTATGTTAACCACGAAATGGAATCGGGAACAGAGCGATGGAAGATAGCGAATCGGCCAATATCGCCCTAGTAACATACTTGTTCCGTCACTATTCCAACGATTTTATCTCGTGTGCGTCCGTTACATATCTTCCTTTAGATCTTTAATTGAAAAACTTTTTTAACAACTGGCGTGTTTTAACATCACAATTCCATTGTAGAGATTTTGCGATAAACGGTCCTAATTCGAATTGTTGCAATTCGTTCCAAATTCCTTTGTTTTATTACAATTCTGCGACTCGATAATGTAATAACAATTTAATTTCTGCCCTCTGATTACTCTTATATATAATTTATATAAAATTGTATAAATTATATAATAAGAGTAATCACCAGACAGCAGAAATTAAATTATTATTACATTATCGAGTTGCAGAACTGTACAAAAAAATTTGGAGCAAATAATAATAATTTAAATAAAATTTGAAATTGCTTTTTGCAAAATCTGCATCATAGATAGATATAATTATTTATATATTATATAATTTAAATAATTTTTCATGTGAGAAGAGTTAAATTATAATTTTTTTATATTAATTATATAATCCTAAACTCTCTTGGCGTCCCTTTTTTCTTTCGAAACGATATACAGAAAGGTCTCATGATACGATTCATGGGTGTAGACTCATGGTGTTCTGTGACAGAAGGTATTCCGATCGTACCTCGTTTCGTGGATATGACGGTCGGCATCGATGTGAGCTGCGACGGGATGCCAGCTCTATCAGTGGCAGTGATAGCCCACAACCGAGTCTGGTTCCTCTTTGTGGACCTCGTCGTCGTCGTCGTCGTCTTCGGGACGAGCCACTAACCTGGTAGTCATCTCCACCGCGACGACGGCCAGTCCGTCATCGTCCAACAATCGACGTATGTATAATCTAGAGGCACACAATAGAGCATTCGTTTTCCCCTTAACGTAGTTTAAAAAAGGTTTATCGATTGATACTCAAACTAATTGGGTTTTGCTTAATATAACACACCGAGTGTCCTAATTATTTTTAGATTTAGGTTTGCCGATCATTTCGCCTTTTGGAAATGTCAGATCGTTATTGTAATATTCATATAAAAATGGACAATGCGATTGATTGTTCGTAACTATAACCACCTCCGGACACCCGACACGATTGAACCATTGTCTGCCTACGATCAGATGTTGAAGTGACGTAAATCTCGCCAATGTTGCATCGATTGTGTTTTACAAATGGTTTCGTATAGAATGATATTTTATTACATTCGATAATTTACTCGAATTTAATTGCACATGTTTCTATAAAATAAAAAAAAAATCACTTTTACACACAAGATCGGATGATTTGTCGTGACAAGTATTGTACATGTGCGCAGAGGAAGGATCCATTATTGAGAGGATTTCCGTGACGGATAAGAAGCAGATTTCTTTAATTATAAAAATGATTTGCTTACGCGAGATTTTATCTACTTAGTAAACATAAAGTAGGTTACCGTTCATTTTATTCTATAGAACTTTAAGTTCGACATCTACAATAGCGTTGCCGACTAACGTGAAAAAGTTTTTACCGCGACCGAGAACAAAAGTTTCACTAGTGCTTGAAGCGTTAAACCCTATAATGACAATTTCTTGTTCGCTTATGAAGTTAGAATCAACTTTTTACTACGAGCAGAACTAAAATGGCCGTTCACAATATGCTCGACTCGCATCTTTAGAATAGTTCTATTTTTAACAAAGAAAAAGAAAGAGAAAAAGTCGCAGAGGGTGGTATTCGTTGTATAGAGAGATATATATATATATATATATATATATATAATTTTTCTATACTTAACAAAAATGATTGCTCTATACTTCCATTTAAAAACTAGAAGTAATATTTTTAAGAATAATAAAGAGTATTCTTTCCTGACACAACGTATATATTACATACACAGAAAATATATACATATAATTTAATATTAATTTGTTTTTACACAACGTAATTTTTTATAATATTTTTTAGAAAAAATAATTCGAAATTATTGAAGTAAATCTTTCGTTAGCAAAATGTGGATGACAAAATTGTTATAAATTTCTAAGTATACCTGCAAGTATCGAGCATTATTTTCTATTGATAGAAATAATGTGAATTAGTAGCTGACCGAGATTGCACGTTCGTAAATATAACACAACAGTGCACACATGTTGCTGCATCAAAGTTTAACCAAGTCACAGAGTGACAAACATGCTGTTGTCTGTTATTACAGTTATCATATAGTACACGTTGTTAAAATGGTTATCTCTGAATGCGCTCACGAAGCTATGACATCGATTTAGGAAAGCGATTCTGCCGAAAGACATTATATTTGGTCTGTATTCCTTGTATGACTACATCCGCATGTATTGCATTTTACATGGATACTCTCCATCTCCATTTATAAAGGATTATAACTTTTACGTCAGCTATAAAATTCCCGCGTAAAATATAAATTGAAACCCACGAGTTTATATAAAATGCAATGTAAAATTTCTCATCAATATATGATTAGCATTTATCCCTTTTTCAAAACATCAATGCAGATTTTAAAGACTTAATTCAGCAAAATAGGCAGGACGGCTCGGTAAGCTCGAATATACGAGCCACGGCTGAAATGGCATCGAAAATTTTCGTGTCGCGGCAGAAATTGCATTCCACCCCCTCCTCCCTGTCCCTCCACCCTTCTCGATCTGCGATCTTCCGCGGCCATTTCAATTTCGCGGGTATTCCCCGCTCTCGGGAGATACGATCGATTGACGCGTCATAGAAAAATAGCAGCATGCGATTCACAAATTTTCCCATCTGCGCGCTTCGACATTTCAAGTTACAAGTGCGGACGAGTTATGTCGGATGTATAGGAATGTTTATATCCGTCCGTTTACATCCGGATTAGTTCGTTTGATAATTTCACCAACGAAAATGGCGACACGTTAAGAAGCCAAAATCCTGGATATGAATCCAGGTGACATTTAATATCTCCCTCAGAGGCGGCGCAAAAAAGGCCAAGAGACTTTTTCAAGATGTTTTTAAGTCGTTTTTTCAATCGTGTTTTTTTGGGGATTTAGGAATTTTCTGTTATTTACGTTTTTATACTTTTAAATTTATTATCGTGGGATTAGCTTTTATGTAAATGTGATAATTACGAGAAATAATTAAATAATCATTTTCTTCTCTGTTATTCGTTCATTAGTTCCAATACGTGATCTCTTGAGATTCTTTATTTTCCGTGATATCGCTGCACAAGAAAATATATGTAAACTACGTGCTGCGCATTCGTTGTACATCAGCAAAGTTTAATAAAACATATGCATAACTTCGTAGAATTACGAATTGATACTTGAACTTTCACAGTGAGAGGAAGACGATGTGCAATCACGGCAATCCGATGTTACAAATATTAAAATCCGGTTATGGCTTCGTAGAGGTCGGCGATAAAAGAAGTGATAGGTATATATATACGAATGCTGAAATCTGTCGCGTAAAACTTTTCACATAGAAATAAATCGCCTTTCAATCGTGTACCAACGATGATCTTAAAAAGCGTTTCATCCGATGAGCGACTCTTTCGCAATCATTCCATTTGACGATAAAAAGTAAAAAGATTGGAAGGGAAAAGAGAAGGAGATGAGGTAAATGAAAATTACTCGGTCAATTCTACGATAAATTTAGAATCAATTTCTTTAAAACGAAAACCTTGTGGTATAGACGAGCAAAAATTTTTATCATTGAATATTTCGAAAATTGAATAAAAGAATTTTCAGTCCAGTTAAAAAGTCCAATTAAACTTGATTGGGAAATAAAATTATTTATTTGTCAAGGCTTGATTCTCTTCGAAATCTTTTTAACTTTTAACTTTAATTAACTGCAATTGATGTGCTCTGTTAAATATCATTTTTCTTGCAATTAGTGTATCTTCTATGAAAAGATACTTTGAAAAATATCAGAGAAAATTCCTTGTTATTTTAACATTTTATATTCGTGGATACGAATGCATAGTTATATTCTTATTTCCTATTATTTATTTTTCATTTTTCTTTGTCGATGTTGACGCACACAATTTCACAATTATATTTCATACCGTTTCAATTGTTCAAAATCGTAATGTTGCTGTCTGATGACATCGTCGAGGTACATCTTAAGCACCAGACTTTTCTTAATAAATTTTTCTCAGGGAAACAAGAATGTTTGTATAGTATGTCGTAAAAGGTGTCGAGAAGATGATCCCACCAAATGACTATCATCTGTCTTCCCGGAAAGTAAATCACCATATTATTTTCTCTCAGATAATGACATAATCTATGTCGTTACACTAAATCATGTCATTTACAAGAAATCTCGATGAATATTAAATATTTATTATTATTATCGGCTTTTTTCAAAATTATTAAATTAATTATACATGTATTTCTGCCACGGGAAAAAGATGCTCGACTGACGTGATAGAATCTCACTCGGACGAGAGATACATGTCAATCATCTTGGTATAAATAAAATTGTTAGTATTAGCTTTAAACGTAAATTCATATTTCGTCAGAGTACAGATATATCTATATTAAATCCTTTTTAACCAATAAATTTCTTGCCGCTCGCAATAAATTTAAATAATCTGCTTTCTCGCAATAAAAATTTTAAAGCAGTTCAATATCTATATATTTACTTTTAAATAAGCGTTTAAAAGCTTTATTTGGCAAAGGATACATAATACCATGGGAATAAATGTAAAACGCGAGATAGCTATTAATTTAATAAATTTCTCTTGTACATATACGCAGATTGAGGAAATATTGTCGTTTATTAATGCTTTCAGTTGTCTTTATACATATATACATATATACATATATATATATATATATATATATATATATACATATAGCGAAATAAAAATATTTTTTTAAACGTCCTGGTAATCTAGCTATCTCGGAATATGAGTTTATTGCACGATTATTGGATAAAAATGAGCGAGAGGTCGATTGAAGGAAAAATTCTAAGAGCTGTAGCAAGATGAAATTGTACGCGACGTATTATAGTATTTATTGTAAAAGAATCTTTTGTTCTGAATTTTCGAAGAGATCTCTTAAATAAGAAAAATTCATACTTAATTATTATCGGTTATTAGGTACTTACCTATTTCTTTCTTTTTTTTTTATTTTACGTGATAGTATTTATTTGCTACGTAAAATGTCTTTGATATGATAATATGAAAGCATTAAAGTATTAATGCTCATAAATAATGTTCGTAATACTTTGATATTTTGAAAGTAAGTTTATAAAAAGATAAAGTTTTCTATCTTAAATTATTCATTAATTTTTTTAAAGAATATTCTTATTTATATTCTTTTAGCAAAGACACATTTTAAATAACAGTCATTATGCAAATAACACATCGCTACGGTTTTCCTTAACAATAATAATCAATTAATAATCCTGAATAAAATATTATAATGAAAGAATCTTTTGTTCTAAAAATTGAGATCTCTTCAAAAATAAAACCTTACTAGGTACTTATTTCCCTCTTACAATTTCACGCGCTAAAATTTCCATTCCGATCGCAGCGTCGAGACATACCTTTTGCTATTCCTCACGATGCTCCGCCAGATTGTTGTCTCATCGTTCGACGGTATCTTCCGATACCGATTCGCACAGATGGCCTTGCACACGCAAGTAAGTGCGACCTGGCACGAAGAGTGGTGAACAACTCGAGCGATTCGAGGAGACACTCAGCCGCGGGTATCACCGCACGAAAGATACCTTTGAGTTCCCCGTGTATTTTTCCTCTTCTCCTTCTTCCTCCTCTTCTTCTTCTTCTTCTTCGATCAAACACACTCACACACACTGCGCGCACACGCGACCACCCGGCCTCGTCCTTCAGGAAACGGTACCGTACCAGGGGCACAGGGTTGCACCACCCTCGGTACCGGGTCTTCTCGAGGCTCTACTGCCGAAAATCTCTTTCCACGTCGTTGGGGTCACATACATGCCACAGAAGATCTCGGGGATCGATGCCGTTTCGAAACGATGACCTCCTGCGACGACATATCAGCGAGGATCGCGAGTCTTCTCTCGTGACGTGTCTCGCCTGGGACACTTCAATTTCGCGGATGACATCGTCGTAGTGATTTCCTTGGTCGGGTGGACCTGAATCTCCCGCGTAAACTTAAACGGAAGTACGTCGCGTTCGGACGCATCGCCGAATCGCGGGGGTTTTGGGCTTTTCCTGCTGAAGATATGAGGACTTGAAGTCAACGGATTCGAGCCTCGCCGACCCCGTCGAGGACTAAATACGGATCCTCGCGGGTGTCCATGTCCGTGTCGCAGTCTCTCGTCATGCCACCCCAGGACGTTTCCTCCTCGTCACCTCAGGACGCTCTTCTTCTGGCTCTTCGTCGAGTTCGCCGGACCCGCGTTACCAGAATCATGCTTCCATTCTACGCGCGTTTGTCGGTCGCCAGTTGATTATTTTCTCTCCCCAAAGCACGCACGACTCGAGCGGCTCCGTGAATCAGCTCCTGGTTGCATCCTTTGTCGAGAACGGACACGCGTCTCTCATACTTTCTGTGCCAGTTAACTTTGCTCTGTGTGTCTTTGAGAGTGTGCTCTCTCTCTTGCAGTGAAATATCAATACTCTCGGTGGTAACGGAACGAGCCGAGCTGAAGGAGGTAGAACCGGAGCTGAAAAGCAGAATCTCGCCGTTTGATCGCACTCCGATACTTTTGTCACTTGGAAATCACTTTATGGTTCTCCTCACCCTCGTCTGGCCCAACACTCGATATTTTCACTCGATATTTTTTTCCTCACCTTTGTTTACACGTGTGACACGCGAAGAAAACGAGAGAAAGATCACCTATTTTTTTTAATCGAAAAAATTACCCTTTCGTTACTAAAAAAATATATTTAAATTCAAACGCGAGTCGAGGGAAAAAACATAGATCGAGAAAGAAGAAATAAGGAAGATGAGGGGACCGTCTGACCAAACTCTCGATATCTTCACTCGATATTTTTTTCCTCACCTTTGTTTACATGTGTGACAGGCGAAGAAAATGAGAGAAAAGATCACCTATTTTTTTTAATCGAAAAAATTACCCTTTTCTTACTAAAAAAATATATTTAAATTCAAACGCGAGTCGAAGGAAAAAAGCATAGATCGAGAAAGAAGAAATAAGAAAGATGAGGGGACCGTCTGACCAAACTCTCGATATCTTCACTCGATATTTTTTTCCTCACCTTTGTTTACATATGTGACAGGCGAAGAAAACGAGAGAAAAGATCACCTATTTTTTTTAATCGAAAAAATTACCCTTTCGTTACTAAAAAAATATATTTAAATTCAAACGCGAGTCGAGGGAAAAAAACATAGATCGAGAAAGAAGAAATAAGGAAGATGAGGGGACCGTCTGACCAAACTCTCGATATCTTCACTCGATATTTTTTTCCTCACCTTTGTTTACACGTGTGACACGCGAAGAAAACGAGAGAAAAGATCACCTATTTTTTTTAATCGAAAAAATTACCCTTTCGTTACTAAAAAAATATATTTAAATTCAAACGCGAGTCGAGGGAAAAAAACATAGATCGAGAAAGAAGAAATAAGGAAGATGAGGGGACCGTCTGACCAAACTCTCGATATCTTCACTCGATATTTTTTTCCTCGCCTTTGTTTACATGTGTGATAGGCGAAGAAAATGAGAGAAAAGATCACCTATTTTTTTTAATCGAAAAAATTACCCTTTTGTTACTAAAAAAAATATTTAAATTCAAACGCGAGTCGAGGGAAAAAAACATAGATCGAGAAAGAAGAAATAAAGAAGATGAGGGGACCGTCTGACCAAACTCTCGATATCTTCACTCGATATTTTTTTCCTCACCTTTGTTTACACGTGTGACACGCGAAGAAAACGAGAGAAAAGATCACCTATTTTTTTTAATCGAAAAAATTACCCTTTCGTTACTAAAAAAATATATTTAAATTCAAACGCGAGTCGAGGGAAAAAAGCATAGATCGAGAAAGAAGAAGTAAGGAAGGTGGGGAAAAAGAAGATGAGTGCGTGGTGCATATCGATCTCTTCGAAGAATGTTTCATTATTCGACGGCATCAAAGAGAGAGCACTCCGAGGAATTTCGATCATTATATATAGACCGGAAATTTCTAATAAATTCTCCCGAGTTTCCTTCTCTTTATTGTAGCAAACTCGCCAAACGAGCCGCGCGAATCATGAATTACTGATGCGTTTGCATATCGACTGTGCGCGAAACGAAACGTTGTGTATTTTTGGAAACTCCCGACTATTGCGTGCAGAACTTCTTGCTATGCACAATGGAATACTTAAGCGAGGTGTGTGTGTGTGTGTGTGTGTGTGTGTGTGTTTGTGTAAGTCTCACCTCGTAGTTATTCAAATCCCCACTACGCTTCCTTTCGACGATGTGTGTATATCTTTGATTATTATAGCTCGCATTTTCATGTCCGATATAGTTTGATTGTCTATAAGATAAAGATTACCCTTGCGGTAAATAATTAGTAGAACTAGCCACTGGATTATGCCAACAATTGGCGTTCTCCCTTATATAATATGCATTCCATAGGGTAAAGAAACCTCGAGAATATCAAGCAAATGTACATACATATATACTTCGCTTGAGGAATTAAGTTCTATCAGACTCGCGATATAAAGTCGAATAAGTTGCGAAAGTCGAGCGGGGTCTCTCTCTTTCGCTCGGCGAAGAACCGACCGGAAATACGCGAAGAAAAGGCGGAGGGGAGGGTGTGAAAATTTGCACGCTTCGACGTCAGGTCGCGGACAAGCTGACGAAAGCAACTGTCACGGTTTCTGCACAACGAACAACTGCATGGCCGAGAGCTTTCTATCAATTCCGGCCTGTCGACTGTTGAAAATAAACGCGCAAATATTCGCGCCTATATTTCGGCGGATGAACATAGGGGTGCCAGAAGAGTGAAAGATCGGCGGATGTGTAAAGGCGCGAACATCCGGGACTGGATATTGTTTTACAATACGGCCATTATTGTATAGATTATCGGTGACCACGGGATACGTAATCACGCACATGCGATATTATATCGCGCGATTAAGGATTAAAACGAAATATTATTCGTAATTACGATTTTCGGGTTCTAGAAGAGGAAGGATCTGCATAATCTCGATTTTCTTCGAATAATTTTTCTTGTAAAAAAAGAGAAGAAAAATTAAAGAAAAAAATATTCATATCTTGTAAAACAAGATAGCAATTTTTATTCTTTTCTCTTGTTTTCTTTATTTAATTTAAAAATCTTAATTTATAATTCGGATCGATAATTCATAATTTAAATCAATTGTAATTCTCTCTTTCCTTCTTCGCTTTTGTTCGTCTTCATTTACCATTATTGTTTGCCGATTTCGATTAGGTCCGCCGTAGATTCTTTTCTTCTCGAAGATCACGCGAAGAAATATAGGAGTCTGCTCTTCTCTTTGCTTTCTATTCTTTATCACTTTGATTTCTTTTCGATGATATTCGCAATCTTCACGATTCGCACAAGGATGAGCTTTTCTCTTCCATTTCAATTTTTCCTTTTTTTTCGACGAAACAGAATTATTCACGTTGCACCTTATATAAGATATTTGCACCCCGCTCTAGATTTGGGAAAAAACACAGACTGTTACATCTCAAGATTTCGCTTGAGATACCCCGATCTTTGGGATATTATTGATGTTCTCTCTCTCTCAATTTTTTTTTCTCTCTCTCTCTCTCAAATATAATCCCTCTTCCCCATCTTTTCCGCGCGCGTACCCTTACTTCGAACTATCACTCTAAATTCCGATTTTTTTTTTTAATCACAAAACCCTCCCTTATCACTCGCTAACTCTCCTTCGCCTCGCTATTTCGCGCACTCTCGTATCGCGGCAAAAATGCACGAAATGCATCATCCCTCCGCAAATTCCCTCTTACCCCCTTTCTTTCGCGATTATCACCATCCCCACCGCCATATCGCCCACCACCGATTTTATTCGCCAGCGGACGAGTCTGCCATCCTCAAGCCGAGATGGAGACAGACGCGAGAGCAGAGAGAAAGAGAGCGAGAAAGAAACGCGCGCACACCTACACTTTACCTATACACGCACGAGAGAAGATAGAGAGCAAAAGAGAGAGAGAGAGAGAGAAAGAGGGAGAGATCCACTCGCAGGAAGTGTGCTTACGGCACGAAGTCGCGCGCTCCACTGAGCTATCAACGGGCATGCGTCCGCGTAGTAACCGGTAGCCCGCTACGGGCTTTCCCCGTCGTTTTTCCAACCCCCGCGCGTCTTCGCGGCGCGGCCACCTCTTCCGAGAGCAGCACCCGTCCCTCCCCTTCCACCCCCTGCTCGCCACCCCCGTGCTTCGAACCCGCGTCGGAGCGTGCGCGCGCGTTCACCTGCGTGCGGGATGCAACAGATGCACCGGACGCGAAGTCCCCCGACCCGGGGCGCGGTGCATGCATGCATGTATGCATGTATGTATGTATGCCTGCGTGCTCTGCACAGTTACGGAACGGTCGAGAGCCCGTTACACAATCGAACGTAACGAGGAATAAAAAAAAATAAAAAGCAACGGGGGAGAGACATCGATTTATCGTATAGCTCGGTTATCTTTAGAAGATAGCGAACCGCGTCCGAGTCGCTGTACCTCCATGTATACTCTCTAGTTGTTGTGTATCAGAAACTGATTCTTTTTCCTTTCGAAAAAAATTTACTGACGTCATTAAACGCAGAGAATTTTCTTCCCTTGCTCTTCCGGTATCTTGGAGATATAATTATAGTGTCGTTAAACGCAGATTTATATACATATAATTTTTGTATTTCGTTATTTATAGAAACTAATACTTGAGATGTTACTATGATACATATTCATAAATTGTTATATAAAGTTTGATGTGGAATGTATTAATGTAATGCACCCATATGCATATAATATATATATGTATATATATTTATATTTATATTTAAATATGTATAAAAGCCTTATTGTATTTATAAAATGTTAATTGCGTATCAATTTCCGGTAACGAAAACGTTACTGATAATCAGATAACATTTAATAAATAATAAGACATAATGTTGTTTATTGCAATTGTGTATAATTACACATTGTAATCAATTATACTTACGGAAGCGTATCAGTTTTATTATTCCGCATAATGTAAATATCTTTTGATAAACACAAGTAGCCTAACGAAACAGTTATATCATATGACATGGAAAAGAATTTAATGTATTCTTATATATTTTCTGGATAATATCTCGCTGATGCGAATATTTTGTTAGATTATTTTTTTTATTTTCTGAAACATCGATGATTACGACGAGATGTAATAATTATGATATCATCATGTAAATGTAGAACAAATTAATATATTAATTGAGTTAATTTATAGTAATATCTACATACATATTATAAATTTGTCTATATATAAGAGATACCCAGTTTTCAAAAACTAGGCCAACTTATAAAGATACATCTTTTTTTTTATTATAATTATAAATAATTATAAAATGTTTCATAATAGATATAAGTTTTCTGTACAAATATAAGTAAATTGAATGATTTTATCTCTATATTAGATTGATCGAAAATTTTTTTGTTTTTGCTTTCTGTTCTTTAAATATAAGATCTTAATAAACTTTTTAATGATACAAATTTTTTATTTTATTAAGACTTTATTTCAAGTACAAGAACAAAATAAATTTTTTTTACCAGAAAAAATACACACACACACATTTTGATAATAATCTAATATATCTTTCTGTATTTTATAACTCGTAATAATATTAGCTATTATATACATTTATATATATATATAATTTTTTTGTAAATAAATTTATGTACATATATTAAATATATATTTTATGTATATATTAAATATATATATATTTTATGTATATATTAAAAGAATAATTTATTTGCAATTCAAGAAATGATTGCATTCAAAATTCTTTCATATTTAAAATGTCAATTAATCGGAGAGAGGTGAGGAAATTATTTCGTTTATATAGCGCATATTTACATAAACGAATATAGTGCTGTAACTTCGCTCGTAAAGCTTTCACGTCGAATAAGATGAGCGCGAATGATTTTATGTTGGAAACTTAATTTTACGACATGTGGTGAGATTTACATCGCAAGATATACTTGTCAATATGTGTAGATAATCGTTTGCGATGAAATCATATCCGAAGGATAATCCATGTTTATTCACACACGGCACGGGTTTGAATTTTGAATTTGAAATATATCGACATGTGTCATCGACATATCGCATATCGCATGCTACGATCTCTATTATATTTACTATCGATAAAATACCGTTATCAGTTGGTTTAAAATTATACGTAAATAACTGGAAAATCTTACATGTTGATTGTTGGCAACGTAAAAATACATTAATTAACTTAAAAATAGAATTATAAAATATATATAAATTTAATACATAGATAGATAAATATAAAACTAGATAGCATATATTACATATAAAAAAAATGTTTTTTGAAGTGTTTATGACCTAATTAAAAATATACATATAATGTATATATGAGATATATAAAATATTTCTATTTATTATATGACACTTGGCTTGTGTCTGATGTCACATTGACGGCAATTTCGACAAATCTCAATTGAAAGAAGGATCTGTCGATGCTGTCGTGAAGAGGTTATGTTCTCCCGGAATGTCACGCCATTCATTCTGCTCATTTAGGCGAAGCGGCGTGTTGAATTTTTGCGCATCGGCTCGAACTCGGATCGATTATACGGTATCGAATTATACGGTAAATGTCAAAATAAATTGTTTTATTCTCGAGGATATGATTTGATATGTAATGAAATTTCGAAAGATGTTATTTGTGCCTTAGTTTCAAAACGAGGTGAAACGTTGCTCTAACCTTACTTATCGTATATGTATAACTATAACTTTTGCAATTATTTAACAAGATACAAATACTCTTACATAATGAATTATATTAAATCCATTTTTTTACATAAAATATCGGTATGTATATTTCATATTTTTGAAGTTAATTTCGAAGTGAACTGTTTATATATAATTAAAGTAAAGAAATGCGAATGTGAAGTAATAATTTTGCTACAATTCTCTAAAATTTATTCTTGCTTAATTAAAATCATGTTATTTTGCCATAATTATGATAAATCATTACGTATATGTAATAATTGTTTCTTCCGTAACTTTAAACCTTCTCCGTTACTTTATACTTCTATTATTTTTTAATAGATCTCTGTAAAATGGAAGAATATGCAAGAGAACCATGCCCCTGGCGAATAGTAGACGATTGTGGTGGTGCCTTTACAATGGGTGTCATAGGTGGAGCAATCTTTCAAAGCATCAAAGGTTTCCGTAATGCACCAAGTGGTTGGAAGCAGCGTTTTACAGGCAGTGTTGTGGCAATCAGACAACGAGCACCCATAATTGCGGGAAATTTTGCTGTCTGGGGTGGGATGTTCTCTACGATTGATTGCACACTAGTTCACTTTAGAGGAGGAAAGGAAGATCCTTATAATTCTATTATCAGCGGGGCTGCAACTGGTGGAATTTTAGCTGCGAGAAATGGGCTACCAGCAATGGTGGGCAGTGCAATCATCGGTGGAGTATTATTGGCTCTGATAGAAGGTGTAGGATTTGTTTCACACGTCTCTCTGCCGAACAGTTCAAACCACCAACGCTGGTTGAAGATCCATCGCAATTTGGCACACCTCCGCAAGGCTATCCATCATAATGATCAACTAAAGTGTTTAGACTTATTTTAAATTAGAATGAAATGTTCAAGTATAATATTTTTTCCAACAATATTTTACAATAGAATATTGAGTGTCTCCTTTTGTCAGTGTTAAATTTGTATACAGTCTAGAGATTTTGGACTAGAGATCAAACAATATTTTGTTTTCTTATTTATCTGTATTTTTCTTTGAACCTTTTAAGATTTACCAAACATTGTATTTGTGTAAAGATATATCCTGTAAATACTTATAAAATATATATAACAAGAAACAATATATGCACACATCTTTTTCATGTATTTTATTATAAAATTATTGATTAATACTTTACATTTGTATAAAATATATACATAAGGTATAATTTACTTTTCAGGGCATTAATATACTGTAATTAGTAATAAATCTAAATTTAAATATATTAAGGGGATGACAAGAAATCAAGTTCATCGTCTTCAAACTCTTCAAATTCATTTAGAGATGGTGCTACGGATAAATCTAATTTTTGTTGCATTAAATCGTTTCGATCCTCAGTTCCTGGCTCAGTCTTCATACAGTCTTTTTTTATTGGCACATCTGGCAATATATTTTCTTGCTTTAGACACTTAGGCCGAAGTAGAGAATTTCTCAAATGTAATCGCTCGACCTACAAAATTATTTTAAAAATGTTTTTCTTATATGTTCGTCTTATTTATATATCAGTATTACAAATTAGAGCGTTTCATTATATTTATATATCTACATTTTTCTCTGCAGATATACCTGTAAGGCGAGTATTTGTTTTCAATCTTCGATAATATGTCAGTTAAAAATTGCTTTTGTTTCATTAATCGTTCACGATATATCGCCATTTCGGTTGGAGAGATTCGTGTTTCTTTATTCATTGTTGCAGATTTCTCGACTGCTTCTCACGTATCACATCACTTAGCAGAATAAACGAAAATTGTGTTTAGCAGCATACAATATATGTTAACCGTTCAATTATTTTCAGTCGGAGCGAACTAGAGTCTCTACATTTGTAGAAATACAACGCAGACGTCGAGTGAACCATTATTTCTGATTGGTGCATTACTTGTAGATCTACCAATCAGAACACATCATTCTCGAGTTACCATATTTACTGGTTTTGTCCATATTTAAGATTTTGTACAGTGAGGTAAATCTCTTATTATATTTAATAACATTGCTGTTATACGGAAAAATGTTATTTAATCATTTTTATTAGATTACAGATAATATAACAATTATTAAAAGCAGTAGCAGAAATAACGAAGTAAAAATGCAGTCAAGGGTTATGTTATGTCTTACTCATCAAGAGACTCTTCCTTTATCGTATGTAAGCGACATCTAAGGCAAAACCGCCAATTTCAGTGTATATGACACGGTCGATATACAGATGTGTACGTGTGTGTGTATTTATATATATATAGTTTCTATACATATTATATATATAAATAATATAGAAAATAATATATATCATCCTAATATCTTTATTGCTGAAGCTACGGACGATAATATAAATATATAATGAAATAAAAAAAAAAGACATATACATATATATTTTAAAATATATACATATACATTTAAAAAAAAATATATATATATATTTAAAAATATACATATATATATATATATATGTATATATAATATTTTATGATAAAAAATAAATTAAAAATTTTGTCGAGACATTTTAAGTTTATTGAGACATAAATAAAGAGCATCACAATTAATACAATAATATTTTATTCTTTCTACAGAGATCTACATGGTATTATAGGCTATAATGACACTTTAATATAGTAGGAATGTTTTTAGGTACAGAGCAAATGGACCACCATTTATGTAATTCACATAAATATGTACGATTGTGCTAATTTGTATCTGTTTAAACGTGCGAATTAATTTGAATAGGACGCGAATTTTCATGATAGTTTCGCTGCAGTTACATTGCCTTTAAATTCTTGTTGGTAATGAGGACTTATTATAAATATTCCGTTTTCTGGAACTTTAGTGAGAATTATCGATTTTATTGGCCCATATAGTCTTTGTGTAGAATATTATTTACATTATTAAGTACATGCACACAACTCGTCTTGGGCGGGAATTGGATCGAGAGAAAAGAGAGAGAGAGAGAGAGAGAGAGAGAGATCTATAGTCATTATATAGATTATCTCCGTTAAACGATTACTTGCGAGATCTTGTGATTATCAAAGATATTTCTATCTACTATTGCGTTATCGCGCATCAAGATAAATGTTATAAAGACAGATTGACCTAATTTGGCGCTTTAAGATTTACCGAAATTATTTCCTATCCCACGAATAATTCAATAGAATAATAATCAATTATAAATTATTTTATTATATAAATCCTTTTCTGTAAATTCAGAATCAAGTTGGCGCAATATATTCTTTATTATATTTCTCCGACAGCGATATTTTAACATTTCAACACTTAGGGATTTTTTCATTATATTTAAAACTACTATGAACATTTCACAGTAAGATAAAGTTAACTCTTCCAGTATTAGATTGAATATAGAAGTCTTTTTTCGTTATTTTTTATTCTTAGTTTAGTTTTGAAAATTATGAAGATCCGTGAGAAATATGTATTTTATTCATTTTAATATTTGTAATTTCAATATTTCGTAGATTATATATTGTGTGCTATAAATTGTTCTTATTAATAATGCATATAGCTCTAAATATTTTATACTGATTGTAGAATACACAAAGAAATTTTTTTAAAGAACTCATTGCCAAAAATTTATTAATTACGAGATACTGGAAGGGTTATGAAATGATTGGATGATAGAATACAATCGCTATCATCTCGTCTTTAATATGGAAATGTGACGCAATTGATGTTACTTTATTTATTTCGTACATATTTGAATTAGAAAAATTCATTTACAACTGTACATTCAAATAAAATTTAGTACGGTCGAAAAGATAATGGAGAACATTACACGTTAAATACGTTGTCGACATTTGAGACCAGTTGAAAAATTTGGAGTATAATCAGAGTTATAATTTGGAGTATAATATATTTATACTAATATAAATGTCGGAAGAAGCGGATGTGTGCGTGAGTAGTATATTTTGAAACTTAAAAAAAAAATTAAAACTAAAAATTAATAAACGATGTTCGATCACACAGCAGCATTTAAAAATTTACAACTATAAATATCGCTCTATATTAATACGAACTGAGGTACATGGTAACATTGGAATTTGGATTGAAATATTCTCAAACTTATACATATACAATTTTACAAGACGCATTGAAAACTAAATTAAATATATGGAATAAATAATATGGAAAATTAATATACATACTTAATATTTAACGCACTGATTGAAAGAGGGAATTTAGAATGAAAAAAAAACACGTTCCGAAATGCAATAAATAATACCGTATTGAACTCTTTCGAAGCTACACGCCACTTCTGCGAGTTCTGCCACTTCGGGATCATCCGTACAATATATGATGTAATCAGAGAAACCAATGTCACATTCTATTCATAGTTTAGAAACGGGAAGATAGAGACGTATCCCCCGAATATACACATATATATCACATACCTCTACTTTCAAGATACGGAATGACATTACTCGTCTTAAAAAGTCCACGGTATTACATTCACGATGCAGCCTGAAAGAATAAATTAGAAAGTGGTTTCTGTGTGGCTGCAGTAAATTGTCACGATTCTCATTGAACTTTTGGCCTCTCCGAGCCAGGAGCAGATAGTGCTTTGCGATCAGCTTGTCGAATCATAGACCATAGTGCCGTTCATTACTGCAGCAAAAATCGCGTCAATCCTTGGAAGATGGGGGCGATTCCCTACTGTTGTCGCTGGTGAAGCTGGATAAGCCGAGGCCGCCGATCTCGTGGCTGGACGAGCCCGTCGGTGAGTTGCTGCTGCTCCTGGCACCGCTCAAGGCCGTCACGTTCGTGCTATCTGCCGGTATCAGGCCCTCCTTCATACGTTTCTTCTGTTTCATACGTCTGTTTTGGAACCAGATCTTCACCTGTGTCTCGTTCAGCTGCAGCGCGGAAGCGATCTCGATGCGTCTCGCTCGCGTCAGGTACTTGTTGAAGTGAAACTCCTTCTCCAGTTCGGTCAGCTGTTTATTCGTGAAGTTCGTGCGCCCGGTATTGTTGAAGCTACCGGCGATGCCGGCCAACGAACCGGCGATACAGTTCACTGTTCCACTGGCGGTACTTCCGTATACCGAGGAACTTGGTCCAGCAACTGTACCGCCGCCGTACTCGACCGCGTTCGGGTTCGCTTTCGTCGCTGAAACAAACATTTTTTATTAGCTTTGCTGTAATAAATATAGGGCGCACACAATAATCATAGACAGAATTTAATTAGACAGTTGACTGAATATCGTAGGCATCTATGATCAATTTTTTTAGCGAACATTGAACGATTAAAAATGAAAAGTTTCTCACAAGACAAGTTTCAAGAATATCAGTATAAATAAGAAAATCTGCATTTCTGATTTTCAATTCCAACTGTATCTTATTGCAATTTTTTTTGTTGTAATAAATATAAATCACACGCAACAATTATAGATAGATATCATTGAATTAGAATTAGATGGTTGACTGATTATCGTAGGCATATATTTCTTGATCAATTTTTTCAGCGAATATTGAACGACTAGAAATAAAAAGCTTCTCACGAGGCAAGTTTCAAAGATATCAGTAAATAAGAAAATCTTAATTTCTGTTTTTTTTTTTTAAATTCCAACTGCATCTTGTTGCAATTTTTTAATTATTTTTGTTGTAATAAATATAGGACGCGCACAATAATTATAGCTAGACATTGCTGAATTAGACAGTTGACTGAATATCGTAGGCATATATTTCTTGATCAATTTTTTTAGCGAATATTAAACGACTAGAAATGAAAAGCTTCTCACGAGGCAAGTTTCAAAGATATCAGTAAATAAGAAAATCTGAATTTCTGCTTTTTAATTCTTATACTGTTTCTTATTGCAATGTGATTTAGAATTTAATTGTCGAAATATCTGTGAAAGAATTTTGGTCGATCAAAGTCTTGCTTAGGACTTACACATTTATTTGAAATAAATATCTCATTAAATAAGTAATAGATAAAGTAATCAAATATTTTTGTGATAATAGACTTATCTCCTAAGTATGATATCAAAAGCGATATTCTTGTTGAACGAAATTTCTGCTGTGTGTTTTCAATTCGGAGATAATCTGTATTTCGGAAATAATCTTAATTCCAAGTACGATATAGAACGCGCAACAGACGCGAGTGCAATATGTGTCGAATCAAGATCAAGTCAAATCCTTTAAGTGACGTTTGCTGGCCATAACAGCTGGTCACTATCCGGGGAGGGCAGTTTTAGGGAGATGACCTGTGCAAAGCTGAAGGAACGATAGGGTTGTGCCCTAAATCTGGATCAAATTGCATCAGCTGTAGAGCAAACATCCGCAATCACTGCACTGTTACGTGAAATTTTTGATTTTTTCATTTTATTACAATATTTTTACAAATCTATAATTTTTATATACAATAAAATTTTGAATTATTTAATCTGATTTTTATAAGATAAAGATAAATTTCTGTTTGAGAGATGATGCAATTAAAATATTGAGGATAAAAGTAGCGTCGTTTTAAACAGAAGGACGAGGATACATTATGAAAATTAGATTGTTATTTAGACTACGGTATGTAGTCAGTCAATTTACTTAATGGCAGGGGGTGGACGAAACTGTCAAGCCACCGCCTTAAAGTCACATCTTCCCCATTATGTACATTTTTCCTTCGACATCTTTAGCTTCGCCGTTCGATATTTTTGTAATACATTTTCGTTTGATCTGCTCTAAAGGAATTATAATATTTTAATTTTCTTTTCTCTCTTTTTACATGTAGTATATGTAAAAATTAGTTTATATCTATATATCATCAGTTTATATATATTATATATAGGAAAATATTTATATTCTCGTAAGATGACTTTCGCGAATTTCCTAATATAACCGAAGAGATCAGTCACTTATACCGGAGGCCCTGAATTCAGCTTGCGGCCATTAAGCTTACGCTTTTCCAGGCCGAATAATAAACTTGGACAAGTTCTATTAGGCGTGCCAGTGCCAGATACAATGAAATGTTTCTCGTTTCCGCGACTCATTCATCAATTTAGCACTTTAACGGAAGGACCGGCTACGGTGCCGTTGATTTTCTATACTAACCTTCTTTAGCAACAACGAAGGCATCGTATTAATGAAATGCAGAAGAAGGATCTATAATAAATTCCGTTAAATTATAATGGCACTGTCAATGCCATCGTAATATGAATGTTCTGATTAAAAATAAAAAAAATTGCGCTGTGCCTTTATATTTTACAATCGAAAGCGAGAAAAACGAGATTAAATCTCTCCCCTTTTCTCTCTCTCTCTCTCTTTCTCTTTCTGCGTTATCACAATTATCGACAGTAAGTTACGTTCATGCATTCGTGACGTAGAAATTATATCGTGAGCACGCATCGAATAATGTCCTTAAGGCAGTGGCCTCTCTAAAGCCTTATAAGTTCAACGCTACATACATTTTATGCAGAAATTAACATATACAGTTAGAAATATCAATTAAAATTTTTATTCGCTCGTGTATTGTATAAAACAATAAATGTATTCAAAAAGGCCAACTTATCGAGCAATATTTAAAATGTTGTATCCAATTAAAAATTTTATTTTATAAACAATATATTAAAATTACAAAAAAAAACCTTCCATATAGACGTTTCAACCGCACGCGGTCTTTTTCAGTATAACAGTCTTACGTAATTTATAATTCTTACAAAAAAATCATCCTATTCTTAAACTTACTAATAGTCCGTTAATTCGAGTCGAGAATTTATTAGAAATTTATGCGTGTTACAATTTGTCATATTTAATTTATAAAAGTATTCGTCGTAATGTGATCTTATGATCCAACATCATGTGGATGAAGCGTGTGGTTGAAACGTCTATATGGAAGGTTTTTTTTTGTAATTTTAATATATTGTTTATGAAATAAAATTTTTAATTGGATACAACATCTTAAATATTGCTCGATAAGTTGGCCTTTTTGAATACATTTGTTGTTATATACAGTTAGTATTCATGTTAATTTCTACATACAACGTATAGCGTTGAACTTATAACTTAAGTCGGCCTGTGCGGGGAAACATTTGTTTCGCGGATTAAATTCGTGATATCGACAAAGTGGAAAAGGGTTGGTATGTAAGAGCAGGGAAGTCCTTAATAACGCTGAGCTCGAAGGGAAGGCGCATTGACACCTCTAATTATCTTCCATAAGACATGTGGGTGCACCCTCAGAGTCACCTTTTACGCCACTGTGATTATATTGTCGCTACCGAATCCTCTGTAATCACGCGAGGGGGATTTAATCGAGGCTGTTGCATAGATTTTTCAAGAAGAAGAAAGGAGGAAAAAGATCACGAAGAGATTATTAATATCACTCGCGATCTATCGCAGATCTGAAAACAGCGTGATGAAAGAAAATGTTACTACGACAGTTCAAAGATCTTGTTTCAAAAAGATATCGCTGTCTTTGTTTTTAATTAAAAACCACTGGATTATCAAGACACGATGCATATATTTATTTAGGAACTTGGGTAACTGGCGTTGATGCGTATAATCCGGATATTAGATATAAATCAAATACAGCTGGATCCTCTGTATACACCCTACAAATGTTTTACGTCGACAAAAAAATTAACGTTCTTGAAAACGACTTTACAGATATTTTGCAGCCATTTTTGTTTCAAATACGCTCACATATCATTTAGAATTCAGAAAATTCTGTGAATTAGGAGAGACATCAGTGCGCCCGTATATCTCTATCCTCTTTGTAACATAATACACAAGCATCTTGTATTCTTCTGCATATGTTTGCCATCACCTTTTCTTACGTCATCCGAGGCTAGAACGTCCCCACGGCTTTTAGCCTTTGAATAATATTTGAATTGCGTAATGTTCCTTGAAAAGAGAGGGGGAGATTGTCGACGCATGAGAGCAGATGATCCTGTATGATCAAGGGATTGACTTTCCGCAAGTAGCTACCACTTTTTTGTAAATATAATAAAAAATTATTTTCGATACATATACATATGTCAAAAAGAGATAAAAAATATATAGTAATTCTTTGATTAAAGAGAGAGAAGTCATATGATTAAACTTGTAAATAATAATGAATTAATTATGTATTTAAAAAATTAATTAATTAACAAATTAAAAAGAGAAGAATCTAAGAAGGCTTTTATATCAAAGATTATTGATAAAAGTACATTTTTACAGGTTCTGTAATACTTATAATAATCTTATAGTCTCCCCGTTTCCTTTCTTGAGAGGTTTTCGTGGTTCGATAATCACCCGTGACGCGTAAAAACAGAAGTGAGCGAATTTTTAAATATATAATGTATATTTGTGAAGAAAGCACAATTTTCTTTCTTCTCTTGTAATAACTTTCTTTATTTTTTTAACACATATGTATTTTTTCTCCACAATTGCTTTGATAATATTAAGCCAGGCGAGATTTCATCGAGGCGGTAGCTTTGAACGAAGGTAGATTAGCATGCACACGCGGTTAGTCAGAAAGCCAAGCCACACTTAAGCAAATCCTACACCCTCACACGAGTATTTACGCATTTGTACGCCTCAAAGTATTGTGTACGCGTTCTTTAATTAATATTGACAAACTGCAGTTTTGTATACTCGATTCACGTATACACAAGTAATAATTGCACTCTATTTTTGTGAGATGCAATTTTTATATTTCTCTTAATATTCTACTATAGTTATCGGTTTTATTTATTATGCGCAAATGTGTTGTTATTTGAATATTTTTTTATTTATCGCACGGAAATGCCGTTCATATATTGAATTTCTATCTTTAGTAAAAATATATGAAAACTGTCAAAAACTTGTGAATTTACGTGCATTCCCTGTTGCATGTTGTATCGACACGCTCACTTTGTAGACTGACTTTGATAAAATCACCACTAAGATCAGTGTGAAGTAACTTAGTAGTCAGCAGAATGACGACAAGATGTATCAGCAAGTGTTACGAGATACGTGATTTAGCACATCCGGCTGCCTGCTGGCAAGTGGTTGCAACGCAGGTTACGCGCAAGAATCGAAGCTGTTGATTTCAATGATGTAATTTCTGTTTAAATTTCATTGCGAGCGATATAGACGTGGAAAAAAGTTTTAAGAATTTTTTTAAATTTATCTGTAATCTGTAGATATCTCACACAC